TAGTTAGTGCTTTGTAGTTCTGCTTTTGTTCATAGTGTCCAATAGTAATATTCTAGTATTGTATCTAGAAACACTGAAGTTTTTGCCTGCCATAGAGTGAGTTAATTCAGTTTCTTAGCCCCCTGAGTTTGTACCTCCGAGCCTCCATGTGGTGTCTGAGTCCTCTTCCCTGTATTGGCCGCCCAGTCGTGACAATCATTTGCTGTTACATTCATTGCACACTAAGGTCAGCAGTGAGATTACAAGGTGCAACTCAGTGCAGGGTTCGACTTGGATAATACTTATGGATTGTATTGTCCATTCAAATATCCCACCGCGTTTCATTTTTTTTTTACAAAGTATATCAGTATATTGCCAGGAAACACGAAAACCAACACCTGAGGTTCCATTGGTAAAACTGGTGCTATGAAGAGCAAAAGCTGGATTATTTTTATATTTGTATTTTTTTGTTGAAATGCATTGGGTTATCAACATTTAGCTTTTTATTGGCATTTCTGCATTTACAACCAATAACTCCCGTTCAAAGCTGACCTTGGCCAGAGGCTAAGTTAAAAAAACAAAACAAAAAAACAGGTTTTCCATTTAGGTCTTTAGTGGTTATCAAAGAATCCTACTTGACCACTGTCTGTGTTCTGTGCCAGGAGTGACCACAGTACTGACCATGACAACTCTGATGATGGGAGCCCGGACATCACTACCCAATGCCAACTGCTTCATCAAGGCCATCGATGTGTATTTGGGGATCTGCTTCAGCTTTATCTTCGGAGCACTTATTGAGTACGCTGTGGCCCACTTCTGCACCCTCACTCACGCTGATGCACACATGCTCATGGTGAGATACTCCTGGAAGTACTTACATTAACTGTTGATTGTTGTGGTCATTACTGTTGTCACAGTCATTGTGTTCATCATGGTGGTCGCTGTCATTGTCATCGTCATCATCATGTCACCGTGAGCATTTTGGGGTAAGTTGGATTTCTCGGATGTAAACGCATTGTGTTTTTGTTTTCATTCAAACTTAATTTTTATTCTCTGTCTTGCAGTACGGCCACCGAATGCACGACTTTGATGATGAAATGAACGGCATCGTCACCACCATCTCCACTCACTCCAGCAGGGCCAAGAGGCGCAAGGAGCCTGCTGCAACTTCTCCTTCAGTTCCCACCTCAACAGAACTTGCTGTCAGACCCTCTAGCCCCTCGGGCAGTGAGCCCAAGCCTGAGGCGGCACCTCCAGAGCACACCAACTGGTGCCTCACTGTTCTGGCCACCCTCCGCAAGATTCTGCGTGCCATACACTGTTGTCACGTGGAGAACCCCCACCATATAGACAACTACTCCAGAGTCACCTTTCCACTGTCTTTTGTCATTGTTAACCTACTCTACTGGACATATTATCTGTACTTTTAGCATTTGTTTAAGTGCTGCATATGTCCAGGAGAGTTTAAGACGGAGAGTGTTTGTAGACAACAAGTGTACCTTACTATACATACGTACAGTAAGTGTTATTCAGGTGTGTTCTGGGTTGAATGTGTAAAACTTCTACATTTGGACTCGTGAGCGAGGTCGCATTGTCATATGGGATTGTTCTGGTGGAAAAAGGGAATGCTCATAATTGCAGCTCCTTTTTAAATATTAATAAGTACTCAAACTGTGACATTGCTTAAAATTTGATGGAGTTGGTTTTGAAAAAAATTGGCCTACCTGACTATGACATGGTGATATTTTATAAATTCTGTCACGTTTTAATATTTATTTTAGGATGGAGCTGTAATTGAAGGCTTTATGACAGAATTCACCTGCGCTATTGAGTGAGAACAAATTCACATTCCACTTTGAGTCTCTTTTATGATGGATTGATCATTGATATTTTACAACTTCATCTCCTGTTTCTGCCTGCAGGCACAACATTTAGAGTGAAATAGCAAAAGTAACAGATGGCAGAAGAGGGCTGAAAACGACAGGCAAGGGAGGTGGAAAAATCACTACAATGGAGCATGTGTTGAGAAATATAAACCTCCAAAGGACGAGCTTTCTACTCATTGTTGAAAGCTCTCATTCTTCTGTGTCCTTCTGTGAGTTATTTTTAATTCACTGCAGTACTGTTTCTCCCAGCCTGCATATGATCCTTTTTTCATTTCTATAAATGTAGTGGCCTTGGATACCTTCAGTTGTATTCTGGAAATCTGGCTATCGTGAACAGTTTAATGGCACTTGTCACGGTATGAATCTGTTCTGCTATTTCATAAAGGGAAGCACACCTGCACACTCCAAGATATGGAAGTCCAAAGGGATCCATGTTAAATAAATAAATATCAAATTACAAATGAAAATTCATGTTAATAAATAGTGAGATTTTATATATATATATGTGCTCGGCCTTTAGATAAAGAAATACTCTTTACTTTTGTTAAATCCCAGCCTAGAGTATGCTAGCCAGCTAACCAGCTAGATTAGCTTCTCAGTCTTCTCAGTCCAGATTGCTATTTTCTTTTTCATCAAATTGCCAGATTTTAGCGCACTGACTAATCTTGTGAGTTCAAAAATAAAATAGGCTTTTAAACATATAACTGCCAGCTAGCAAGACTGTTGTAGGAACATAATTTCTATAGTCATGTGAAAAAAAAAGAAACGTTCACAGATGTCTTTACACAAAGGTGTTCTAGAGATAAATTCACTGCACAACATTCAAACTTGACTGAAATGCAGTAGCGGCACCTTAACAGAGCTGTAACGGAACTAAATCAATATTGTAAAGAAGAGGGGGTCAAAATTTATCTGTGAGAGGCTGAAAAAAATTCATACTGAAAATTATTATTTAATTTTTCACATGAATAATATGTCTTCTTCCACAGCAGTTTTAGTAAGAAAAAGTATTAATATCGAATGAAAAACTTAACATGAATTAAAGCGTAATTGAAAATGGCATCCTGTAAATCACGTTGTAGAACAAAACATTTCTTATAAATTATAGTAGCTTAATTTTAATAGTGTCTGAAATAATCTCATTAGATCATCTGTATACTTCAGTTTATTTGTATTATTATTTATTTATATTGGAGCTTTTGGGTTTCCATACTAACTGGCAGGCATAATGGAAAACACAGGTGTAAATATAAAGGACAGCAGACATATACCAATACAGACAGGTACTATGTTACAGTGATATGCAGTATTTCTCTCTCTATGGGTTGGCTGGTAGTGTTTTCACTGTGGTTTTTCAATGGATCGGGCAGTTAAAGTGTTAAAAATATTTAAGATGGATTTAAATATGAAATGGATAAAATATTTAAATAGGATGTTGTCATCTGAAAGTTATCTAAATGGAAAAACACATAGAAATGTTTGAGGTACTGTTGGGTCAGAAGTCTATATACACTCAACATTGGCATGGATGTCAAGGTAAGTTCGGGGTTTTAATCATTTGTTTGAACTGTTTTTTTTCCAGGGTGGAATGATTGTGTATATGATACATCTTTAATAACTTTAAAAAGCAAGACTTTTGTGCAGTAGCGTAAACCACAAATTTTCAATGGGGCTGAGATCAGAGTTTTTGGGAAGCTCATTCCAGATGTTCAGTGTTAGCCTGCTTTGTCCCATCCAAAACCTGTTTTGATGTGTGTTTGGGATCATTGTATTTCTGTTGTACATCCTGTTGTATCCAAGTTATAACCGTCTCCTCCTTCCTTTATTGTTCTATCCGCTTTATGGAATGTATTAAGACCCTTGGCAGCACAACAGCCCAAGAGCATGATGCTACCACCACCGTGCTTGGCTAGTAGTATAGTGTTCTTAGCTTTAAAAGTCTCACATTTTTTATTGTGGCTAAATAGCTCAATTTTGACCATAAAATTTTTCTCTAGAAAGCATTTGTATGTGGGCAGCTGGAAAATTGGATGTGAGCTTTTGAGGCAGAGGCGTGGGTTTTTTTTTTCAGATAGCACCCTCTTAGTCCGTGGTGATATCAAACTCACTTTACTGTCGATAGTAACGCTAGTGTTCCTGCGTTTCCAGTTCATTGCAAGCTTGTTTCTCTGTGGTTTATTAGTTGTTCCTAAACATCCTAATTAATTTACTCTCATTTAAAGGTGAAACTTTGGGCCTTCTTTCTGACCTTGGCAAATTAGTGTAACATTTGAACCTCCACTGATATAAAGTTGATTGACCTGACAATCTTGGAATCTGCAGTTTATAGAAATGGTGCCAAGAGACCTTCTTGACCAACTTGTGTAAATCTACAATTCTCTTTCTCAGATCTTCTCCGAGTTTCTTGGACTTCCCCATTTTCACGAGTACTGGTCAAATGAATGAGGGCTGTCCAAAAAAATCCTTTTTGTCAATCATGATCACGAACGAGAAGTTAATAGGCCTTGGCCATGTCAAGTTAAAAGACATCGGAGAACCTTGAGCAGCACTTTGAATATTTGAATGCATGCTTTACATTTGAGCCTTTATGTATATGTTTGAGGCTGTGCAGATTTGCAAATATCTAAAGAAATTCAAACACCCAATTCTTGTTTCTTTTTTACAATCATTAAAGATGTTGTACAATCATTCCACCTTGGAAAAGACAAGTTCAAAGAAATCCTTAAAAACACAAAATGACCTTCATGAACGTTATGAGTGCATGTAAACGACTGTACTCAACTGTGGAACTCTTCAGTTTTGTAAACTGTTAACTCTCAACTGTTTCAGTTGAGATGATACAGCACATTCTCTGTCAGCGTTGTGAACCAAAGAACCAAAGACTTCAATTTAATTCAACCATTCCTCTTCGTTTCCTTTTAGTTCCCAAGAGATTTTTCAAGTTATGTCATGTTTGTTATCCACTGAAGAACTCTGAAATAGCATGAAGTTCATATTTCAGATAGAAAACAGGATTCAGTTGAATATCAGAGGTGCATGTTTATTTATTGCTGTACTCAGTATTGCTATGACATAATCTCACTCATTTAATATGAAAACTGGTACAAGTTTCACCATGATACAAGTCAAGGTTCCATTTCTAAGAACTACTTCTCAGTGTGCAGTGACGAGCTAAGTTGTTCATATTTGAATGTGCTTCATTTTAGCTTCTACTTCTACTTTTAACCATTTTTGAATATACCATCAACTACCAAACATTTTGATTGATCTTTGTCAGATTATAATACAAAAGTAGGATATTTTTTTGTTTATGCTCTTCCTGCATGATGGTCAATCGTATCTTTTGTTTTTTGTTGGGGTTTTTCTGTTGCTTGATTTGTTTTGGTTCAACATGATAGAGAGGAATCATCACTAAAGAGTAAGAAGAGGCTGTTTCATGAACAAGATGTATATTTTCATTTGATTTGGGCTGTCATCTGAGTTTAAAGTAAGAATCTGCTCAAACTTTTTTACTTTTTTCCAAAACTTTGAAAGAAATGAATGATCTGTGACTGTGTTCTCTGGACGCACTGATCTGGGGGAAAGGTTAACGTGATAAAACATAGACTGTCAGGTTTTATACAATATGGCACCACAGTCATAGTTCTGATAGTAATCTTCTCAGTGAAAAGTACAAGAAATGAATGCCAATACGGAGCCAAAGAACCACAAAAGCAACCACTGAAGCATCTTGTCAGTGTGGGCTCACAGAGTCGTAAGGTTGTCCTAAGGTATGGCTCCACAGTTGCAACTACAATGTAAATGCTTGTTTGCTCTAAATGGACAGCACTGTTGACGGTGAAGGTGCAAACAAGAGCGTATGGACATGTTTGGAGCAACAGTTGGACTGCCCCCCCCCCCCCTCCCTTTTCTGTCCTTTTGTGGGACCTGTCAATCTTCCAGGAGACACTGGCTATTATAACAGCCTCACAGTTCTTGGGACATCTTCATGTACAATCTATTTATACACTATAGTACCATGTTAATATAGACTTCAGTTTCCTTATTGTAAATAAATAGTAACACTATGCATGTTTAGTCTGTGTATGAATATGAATGATAGCAATAAAAAAAGAGGTTTAACGTGTTCATTGTTGACACTCTTTATACAACTATAGCAACTATAGTGTTGTGTATGACTATGGCATCATAAACCAACACAGCAGTCTGAAAGTTGCATCATTTTCCAGAATCAAAATTACAAATGCAGAATCAGAGAGCAGCTAGCCTTCAGACATGCAAATGTGTTTGTGTTGCAGATGTTTGGAATGCCCTCCAGCTCCCTTAGCTCTGACTCAGCAGAATACCGAGTGAGGTCGTTTCTCTCTCTCTCACACACACAAACACACGTTTCTTTAAAGGGGCGAATTCAGTAGGTTGCTTTTCTTTAAAGACATACCAAGCCACTTTGCTCTTTGGTGCTTCCAATTAGAAATTAACTGAATTTTTAAAACATTTTCATCATCTAGAGTAGAGAATTTGGGCAAACTATTAAATAAGTCTTCAACCAACTTAAAACAAAGTCCAGATGCTTTTCTTTCCAAGCTTCTTAGACTATTAAATAAATTATTTTTTATTAAAAGGGTGAAGAAAAAAAGTATTTCTGCAGCAGAGTCCAGCTTTGGAGGACTGAGTGTATATGTTTGTGTTCTTTGTAAATCTAAAGACTATTTCATACATGCATTACGCTGTACTGCTTGTACCACAACAAATCTATTAGAAGTTAGAACTGCAGCTGATGTAGATGTACACAGCTACTCACAAAAAATAAACATAAATGAGGTCTAAACAGGTTCGAACCGGGCAAAAGTCTTTCATATACTGTTACAGTAATATTAAAATGAAAATTGGAGGATATTTTAAATATTTAACTTTATTTTCCTCAGGGCTTGAATGATTGGATTGATTGTCTGACCTCAAGTTTTTATCTCTGTGCTGGCAGGTGTAAAATGCTCTAATGTCTCCAATATAAGTGTTCATAATCCTCACACTGTAAATGCTGATCCTCTACTGAATAAATCTCCCAGAATCTAGAAATCCCTTTAAAACAGATCATGATGTGACACATATCAAAGGTGCAGATGTGGGCCTCTCCGCGGCAGATGTTTTATGTTCTCTGATCAGGAATGACCTGCTCAGTGATGAGAGGGAGCTTGAATGCCTTGATGATACCCTCTAAGCAAGATTTTGTGTCGTAGCCCTGCGGTGCTCACATGGTTGCTAAATGAAGCTGATAATATCCTTGATATTGTTTACACCATGTAAATAATGCAGTCTTCTTAAATAACCCTGAACAATGCAGACTTGAGGCAGCTTGCATGTCCCCGTGTAGCATTCATCATGAATAGCATCGCTTGCAGAGATAAAACTGATTGGATTTGACCTATCTGTGGCCCTGAAGATGAAAATCTGATCCAATCAAAGCTGACATGGCTTTGCAGTTGCACTTCAGCACTCAAGACTCATGGTTGCCAGCTTGACTCTGTTAGGCATTTTTCTGCAGCTTCAGGTTGTCCTCCACCATTTATATATTGTGGGTTGCCACAGTGACACAGACTACATATCTTCAGCAGGAAGTTCTCTAGAACATCTACAAGAAAAAAAGTCACGTCTTGGCTTTGACATATCCAACAAAACATTATCACAACCTTTTAGCATGTACTGAGAACACTGAAAGATGTCAGAACAAGTGTGCTCCAAGCAGCATTCAGTCAACTAGCACCAACTAACAACACGAAGCATGCGGTCATATAACTACATGCAGCACCATAATGCATTCACAAGAGCTGGTAAATAGCATGTTACAATGAAGATGTGGAAACAGTAACTGGCTCTTATGATCCACTGTTTGATTCTCAGGAGACTGAGATGTTGTTTGAGCGTGAGCTAGCTAAAATAGTACAAGTCTATCCGTTTAATTGCATTTATGTAGTGACAAATCACAACAGCAGTCACCTCAAGGTCTACAGTAATACAGAGAAACCCCGACAATCAAACAACCACCTTTGAGCAAGCACTTGGAGACAGTGGGAAGGACAAACTCCCTTTAAACAGGAAGAATCCTCCAGCAGAACCAGGGTGGAGCAGCCTAACCAACCAATTAGGTTGATGACAGCAACATAAAAAACAAACAAACAGAGCACACAAAGAAATACTAGACACAACGATTTCACAACACTTACTCATCAAAGGGTTTTTCTATATTGCTCCTTTTATAGGCAAAAAGAAGCGCATAGTGGTCGATCAAAAATAATGTTTAAATTAAAGGTTTTCTGATGAGAGTTCAGTTCCAGTTGTTTGTTTTAATGCATCATACAAAATGCAAAATTAAGTTCATTTTATAAGTTAAGATCCATATCAGAGCTCATTAAGGATGCAAAGCAGGGGCTTATATTGTGATCAACAAGTTATCAAAGTTATGTTAAAGTGAAGTGATCCACCCACCGTTACATTCAATTTCAAAACAGTGTTGGGTGTAACAGTTCCAAAGTAAGTAAGTTCCTAAGTAGTAGATTGTATTTTAATACAGTGGATGAAGTAATTACATTACAGTTACAATTATGTTGTTACCAGTGTTGGTCAAGTTACTTGAAAAAGTAATCAGTAACTAATTA